TTTCCACCGTTAGAAGCAGATTTATTGCCCTTGCCCCAAAATCTAGAATATGCTATTACCCTTTAATAGTTTTCAACCGATTTTGATGAAACTTAAAATGAATGTTATTGGACCTCAATCGAAAGGTTTGAGAGAGTTTAGTTTACTTCTGATTAAATTTAAGGCTTTTTCAAGATTTAGGCCTCTTACGTCAGTTTTGAGGAGTTATCGCTCTTTAACCTCTATACAGTAAGTGCTTCTATCAACATCAAAAAACTAGAGTGTTTAAAGGAATCAAATGAAATTCGGTATGTGCATACATATTCATGAAACGAAGGTCGGTCCGTCCATCCATCATTTGGTCCGTCAACATTTGCTTGTAAACGCTCTAAAAACTAGATTTTTTGATGGTATGTGTATACATATAACAAATATGTCGTTCAAATCTCATATGTGTATACATATTCATAAAATGAAGATCAAGTTTGTATTTGAGCTATTTGCGACCGTTAGAAGCAGAGTTATTGCCCTTGCCCCAAAATCTTGAATATTTACCATCCATGGTGGGTGTATATGGCTGTTGTCAACTATCTTCTGTTTATAGACATGGGGGAATTTCTCTTGAAGGCTCTTATAGTGGGCATGAACTATCTTGAAATCAGAAGATCTTGTGCAAATTCGGTGAAATCGTAAAACCTTAACTTAATTAGACCAGAAAAGGTATGTTTTGGGTAAAAAGAGCTCTTGTGCAAGAGTTGATGAGTATCAGTTTCTTTGAAATACACCTTAATATCCAGTTTATTTGTTTCTGCTATGGAATCTCCCTTAAAGACAGTGGTATCGAGAAAGTCTATTCTTTTGTCTCTCGCGTTTGCGGTTAGTTTGATGGAAGGATGGTGGGTGTTGAGAATATCAAAGAATTCCCAAATCTGTTCGATAGAATAAGTCTTAACCATAAAAATGTCATCCAAAAAGCGTCCGTAAAAAAGTGGGTCAAATGGGGGCAACACCTCACGTTCCCACTCTGCCATGAAAAGGGTTTGCGTATGAAGGCATGAATCGATTGCCCATAGCTGCCCCTGAAGTTTGTAAATATGTTTTACCATTAAATGTGAAATTGTTTCGACTGAGACAAATCTTTAAAAGCTGTAGAATTGCATCGTCGGGTCTGTTTGGATCTGGGTTTCTATTAAAAGCTTTACGAACTGTCGTTAAACCAGCAGTGTTATCGATATTGGTATACATAGAAGAAACGTCGATAGAAATTAAAATAGCATTAGAGGGAACTCGAAGATTTTTTATTTTATTGACAAAATCGGTTGTGTCTTTAAGGTAGGCGCGATGTTGACATGCTAGAGGTAGAAATGATCAATGTATTCTGACACTGCATACGACTCATTACCACAGTCAGATATAATCAGATGGCCTTTAGGGATTTTATTCGAGATTAATTACTCCTTGGTTGGATTCTAATGGATTTTAGGCAAAGTGTACAAATGTCTCTCACGACAATCAGGTTTGGCAGACAGATAGTCATATTGTTTCTGTTTGAGATAATTAGTTTTGACCAAATCGGTAAGAATATTTTTAATCATGTTAGCAGTTTCTTTGAAATTAGTATCAGTAAAATGGCATAATGTTTAGGATTCTCTGCTTCTGAAAAGTAATCTTCCCTATTCAGAATGAAACAACATGAACCTTTGTCACTCTTTTTAATAACAATGCTATTGTCTTTCTTAAGTAAGTTTAACGCTTCACGTTCCACTTGTATGAGATTAGGCTTGCGTATGTTATGGAAAGGTTCTCTGGCTATTCATACTCTCAAATGCTTTCAGTATTTCAGATGGATGGCAGCCTAAGGGGGTGTCCACGTGGATTTAGGAATAAACAATGTTCTAGCACCACGTGGGGGGTGGTTTCGAAAAAAATATGTGCAGCTAAGATTTCGTTGAAATCGTTCAATGGATGGTCGGAGATAATTTAAGTTGGCTATCTTTGGTGTGGGAATAAACTAAAGTCCACAGTCTAAGATTGAATGATGAAGGGGTGTGAAAATTTTGTAGCTCAAGTTAACTACGTTTGGCCTAGCGGTGGCCTCTCATTATTTTTATCCCCAGTAATTAGTTTAAAGACTTACTCGATGCTTGAAGCTGGTGTATCCAAAACAAATAAATACTGTTTGCTGTATGAACATTATCAACTGGATCGAATTCTTCTTTGTAGGGTAGTAAGATTGTTGCGCTGCTGGTATTGGACTCCATCATCATGTCTTTGAAGGTACTGAGATTCTGTTGTGCTTAGAGATTTTTTTTGAGGTGGGTATACATGTGAAGATGATCTTGGAGTTTGGAAAAGTTTTGTTGGCTGTAGCGATTAATTTCTGTTCTTGGTTAAAGGATGTCTTTGTTAGCTGATCACGGTTGTTGAGGCCTACATGAAGAATAACGGTAGTAGGTTTGGGATCATGGTCATATGATTCAAGGATTGACTGTATGTGATGGCACCGGGGTAAGAATGTGTTTCAGTGTCTGAACTGGTTTTGGTAATTCGATTCAGTTTAGAGGATCCAATAATTAAGGTAGATTTCTTCACAGCAGGTAGATTCCATAATGATTTGTCCTTGGTTTGATGATAATAGGGTTTGGTAGCGGATATAATGGTTGTTGATTGGGTGATTGGTACTGGTTTGGTAGTTGTTAGAAATGTAGCATACACGTCTTGACTTGGATGGAGACTGAGGGGTGGTTTGCTGGTCCAAAAACACACAGAAGGAAGAAAGTTTGGCGAATCCTGGATCATGCAGTGAAGATTCAGATGGCGTGGAAGGGGAAGACGAGTCTCAAAAGAGAAAAGAGAAGTGGGGTGCACTCTCTACGAAAACGTTTACCTATATCTGCTGGACTAGGAGTATGTGAACTTCGGGCACTTTTAGAGGTTTGGTTTGATAGAGTGGTGCAGGTGTAGTGTCCTATTCAGTTTGGTAGAGATATGGTTACTCTGGTTTTGGTTTCGTTGATTATCTGGTAAAATTTGGTGATTACAGCTTGAGTGAGAGGTTTGCCATAGGAGCGACGGGTCCAGGACAGGGCATGAGAAATGATGCAGTCAACGGCGGGTGATGATAAAGATTTGGTACGAATGGTGGTCAGTTTCTCTTGAAGTGTGGTTTGGTAATGGTCTATCTGGACCAGCGGAACCTTAGAGAGCCATGTCCGATTGAGGGATCTAATATTCGCGTTGACAGCTGATGCTTTCATGGCTGGACGGTTAAAACTATCCAACTCAGAGACTTTATGATTGCCGGTTGACCTTGCTGTTGAAAGGTAAGGATTGACACTGCAAGACTTGAAAGAACGCCTTTACAAAGGGTTCTTTCTCCATATGAGTGGGGACTGGTTGGTGGTCGTTTCTGTTGTTGGTCAGGGCGGTGGTTACCTCCGGCTTGGTAGGCTGTGTGGTAGGTAGGTCGGTGATGGGGTGGGATATAACTGGATGGGTTGGTTGGTGGTCGGCGATTGGTAGGTTGTAGAGGGCGATGGAAGACAAGACCGTTGTAGGGTACGTGATATTGGTTTAGTTGAGTGTTTCTATGTCTGGCTTCTTGTCAGTGGTTGTTGTAGTTGGGGAGCATAATGAAAATAACTTGAGGTTAGAAAGGGAATGTACAGCAGATGTAACAGGAGGAAACTGTATATGCTAGTGTGAAAATGTCCATTTCTTGTAAAAGTTTCACTCAGCTATTTAAGCCATTCACAGGATTCTTCAAATCTTGATCATCATTTAAAAAAACTATCAAGCTTAAAAGTTCCACATTTACCACATTTTTTTTTTGACACATTTCATATGAGATTGATCATTCACATTTTACACATTTTTATGTTTGGTATGAAAATAGTTGGTATGAATTCAAAACTTTCAATTTATGTTCAACACTGTTACATATCTCACACAAGCATTGGTTCAATTTTGGTTCTCTAGATGTTCCTATGTGCTTCAGTCTCATTTGTTCAAATTTGCTTTGAGAAAGTTTTATACCGGATGCAGTTTGGTGAATTTTGAACATACAGTGTACCCTGTGATATCTGAGTATTCCAATATTCTGCCTAATCCTACATCATTTTCTGGCCCTGATTGATTTCCTTCTGGGGCTAGTATAAAAAACTCCGACACTCTCGCTAATCTGACATTGTTTTGCAGTCCCAGTGTATGTCGGATTACGTAGTTCCTTTAAAGTGCTATCTAGAATCGTTTTGGGTTTAAAACCAGACTTCACAAGAACTTGTACTTTACATGCCAAATATGTAGAACTTTTCTACTTTTCAATATCAACACTAACTACATCTGACCTCTACTTTCTATCAATAGATTTTCTGGTCATCAATTTCCAGATAATACTCAAATTTTTACTTGAAGTTTTCATTTCACCATATTTGTTCAGCGCTTAAAGCCATAGTCCTCCTTGACTTTAGATTTTCTGATCTTACATCTCTTAAATGTTTGAAGTGGTTCTCTATCGTTTTCTCCAGAAACAAACTTCTCTTAGAGGACACTAAACATCTTTTCTTGTTTTACTCGAAACTGTCTCTGTACTCTTCTTCTTAGCCCGGTGTCTAGCAACTCTTTCCCTTGTTAATAATCTGTTGCTTTCTTTTTGATCATCACTCAGCATCTGTCTATAGTTCCAAGCTCTTCTATTTCAGTTTCTTTAAATTCAACATGCTTCTTGGGATCACTCTTGATATGCTTTCGCAGTGTTCAGATTTGTTTTTGAGTCCTGTGGTGTATGTTTAGAGTTTAGAGAAATGCTTTAAAAACACTGAATTGAAGAAAAGATTATAGAAATATAACAGAAGGAATTTAAATTAAATGGAGTTATTCTGATTTATTTGTGGAATATTTCAAAATATTACATCAATAGTCCTGTTCAATAACTGTTGTTATCTCCCTTGAAAAATTACCTCCCCTGAGCGCTCTTTAGCTTGGAGATCTTACGGTGGAGAGCAAAGTGAATTTGCGCCAAAATGAGCGAATCTACAACAAAATCGACGATTAAAAAGCGACATTATTGTTGCATTTGCAGTAACTACGGGGGAAAAATTGTGAATGAACGTTGTGTAAAGTTGCACAGATTTCCAACGGAAGATAATCTGAGAAAACTCTGGATTAAGCGTCTGAAATCTGTCAGTCCAAATTTTGTGTCAAATTTGAAAAACGATCGACTTTGTTCTGCTCACTTCGCCAACGGAAAATATACAAAAGAAAACCCCGTACCTTGTGTGTTTATCATAAACAACAAGGAAAAGATATTTAAATTATCTAAGGTAAGTGTCATTTCAACAAAATAAATCTTACTGTCTGTGCAAGTTGAAAAGTGAATTTTTGCAATTATCCTATTTTTATGAGAATTGGAATCAGCCTGACAATGCTACTGTTAGTCTTAGAATGTCTTTGCTTTGTTAAATAATATAATATTTGTAAGTTAACATTAAATGGAAATACATTTCTCTCCTAGAAATTTCAATCGAGAAAGGTGACTAATTTTGACTGAAAATTGTCTTCTAGCCTCTGTAAAAAAAACATTTTGAAGACATAAATTGTGTTCCTATTTAAAATAAATCCATTCAAAGCAAAGACATTCTAAGACTAACAGTAACATTGTCAGACTGATTCCAGTTCTCATGAAAATAATTGCAAAAATTTAATTTTCAACTTGCACAGACAGACAATGGGTCTAAATGACCCCTGAAAAAAGTCAAAATGGTCCTGCCTATGAAAAAGTCAAAATGGTCCCATCATTAATTTTTTTAACTAGTCTAATGATAATTGTAGCTTTCATTGTGATGACATATGAAATTGTCAAACATAAGATATGATTCTGTTTCATAACACCGATATTTTATCTGTTTTATTATTTGTATAATCAGTTAATCAAACATACAATAGAATGTTTGTTAGTGTATTATCATGAATATTATATAAAAGGTTTTTGTCCATTCCCTTGAATTATTGAAAATAATACTTAAGGAATAGAACCATAATTAATACTAATAAGATTCCTGTTTTTATTGTAATTTCAGGTGGAAAGTTCAGAATCGACATTCACATGTAGTGATGAAGGCCAAGATGTGGAGAATGAAGAAGAGTATGTTGGACCAGACTGTATGTTAATTACAAGCAGTGTATCCGAGTTTGCTTCAAAAAAGTTCCATGACTATGCTGGAAAGATTGAATTTACTGTTCAAAAAATGCTAAATAAAGACATACAGACCGACATGGTAGGAGTGTCCTGTTCTACTCAGACAGAAGGGACTAGTTCAGTTTCAATTTCAAAGTGTAGTGTTTCAACACAAACAGACTTTATAACTCCATAGCAAACCAGTGGATTTCATACATGAGTGTTAAACTTTCTATATTAGTTGCTTGGCCATCCAGAAAGACATTAAAAGAAACAATGCCACAAAAGTTCAAAAGGAAATACCCGAACTGTCGCATAATTATTGACTACACTGAGATCTACACAGAAACCCCACAATCACTCGCTAACAAGTCAATGATGTATTCACACTACAAGTCACATATGACCTGGAAAGCACTTCTAGGAATAAGTCCATCAGGCATTATAACTTTTGTTTCGGACCTGTGGAGTGGAAGCATTAGTGATAAACAACTATAAAGTCAGGACTCCTCGATTTATTTGAAGCTGGTGTTGGGATAATGGCTGATAAGGGCTTCCTCATATCTGATTTGACAACACCACGCGGCATCGTTTAAACGTATATTTTATATTTCCATTCGGAAACTAATGGTTTATATATTGCTAAAATGGTTAAAGGAACTGTGTTGTGACTTTACTTTATAGACTACAGTTTACATTTGATTTTAATGAAACTTGGTGTGAGCATTGGTATTGATAATTTCTTGATCAAATTCGAATATGACAATTTTTGGATGAACAGATTTCGAGTTATAGCCCTTGCCCTTGATGTGCTTGTGGGGACAATAGAAGCTACAATTTTTGATGGATTTTGGTGAAACTTATATAAGCAGTAAGGATCAATAAGATCCTAGTTAAGTTTAAATTTGGCGATTTTTCGATTAACGTTTTTTTTGAGTTATTGCCCTTGGCAGTAAAATTGCGTCAAAATTTACATACATGGGCCAAAAGAGGCTACAATATTTGCTTGTTTGGACAATAGAAGCTACAATCTTTGGTGCATTGTGATGAAACTTGATGCGAGCATTAGGACATTGTGGTCAAGTTTGATGTTGACAATTTTTCGATGAACATTTTTTGAGGTTTTGCCCTTGTAAAGTTGCATCAAAATGAGCTAATGGGGATATTAGAAGCTACAATTTTCAATGAATTTTGATGAAGTTTTGTGTGAGCTTTGGGATTGATAAGTTTGAATTGACAATTGTATCTATGCCATTTTGTTTGTTATATGTTTATAAAGCTTATATGTTTGACTTTGATTTAATCACCAGTATAATTGTAACTTTTCCTTCTGAAAATAGACTGTTTCACACCATACTATTATAAGATTTGTTATTTACTCTCCTTTGAGACTTTAGTGCTCTAGAATGATTAAACTGGGTTTGAATCCGACCAATACAGACTAAAATTTCAATTTCATTATAGTTGTCAATGAAAAAGAGCAGTTCATGATGATACGTTTAATAAGATCATTAAAACATACATATCAATCAGAATTAATCAACGACACAAAAATATTCATGTGATATATAGTATCGGTGGCTGTGTGAACTAACAAATTTATTCATGACTTGAGAAGTGTTGGTTTTGAACCCCAACCCCGATAAAATCAAAATACTTTCTATGCTAAAACTGTATTTTTCTGCAATTTATATATCACTGTTCTAGACAGCTTTCCTACAGACCAAACGGGTACTTTTATGTATGATATAAAAAATTTTGTTAGAATAACAATAATATTACCACTTATTTACTAATTACTAATTAGATATCATATATTTGCATAGAAATCAAGCAGGGTTCATACAGCACTTTGCCTCAAAAATTCAAAGACATTTCAGGGACTCTGGGCTTTGAAATTCAAGGACTTTTCAAGGATATTAGTCTGACAGAATACACATGAACCTGAACTGTGAAATCAATAAAGATAGTTAATATTTGTCAATGGGGTTAATGATAAAAATATACACAATTTGACTCAACTCAAAATTCAAGAACTTTTCAAGAGAAAATGGGTTTTTTATGGTGTTTTCAAAGACTTTTTTTGAAATCAAGGTTTTTCAAGGCAACGGACGGAATTCAAGGGTTTTTCAAGGCTGTGCGAACCTTGTCAAGGTCTATAATCAACTTAAAAGGATTGTAAAATGATTTTCTAAACTTTGTATGTGTATCGGGACACTGATAGCATCAATTTGTGCCATTCCAATTTCCATTCCGACGTCTGTGGTTTTTGCTATTCCTCTAAAACTAACGCGTTTTATGACATCACTAAGTGTGATCTACCGGAAGCTACTATTGATATCTATGCAATTCACTATTAGTGACATCAAAACGTGTTTGTATAATTGGAAGAACCATATATGTTGGAGTGGAAATCGGAATGGCGCAAAATTGATGCTATCAGTGCCCCCAAATGCCCCGATACACATACACAGTTTAGAAAATCACTTAACAATCCCTTTAAGTGCCAACAAATTATCAAATGTAACAATAACATGCCAACACCAATTTTGTTTTAATAAACTGTTTCATATTTTTGTCCATTTACACATTTGAATGTCAATGAGAACTGTATACTTTAATCACATTAAGTTCCATTACATTAGTTCTTTACCACGTTTGACATGCTCTGTGAACAATTCTGGTATGACAGCCTTTATATAAAAACTGTTTACCTAGCATGTCAACCCAAAATTCATTATCAAAATATACTCTCTCTACACTATGACCCTTCAAAGTCCACACAAAAAAATCGCACCATTTTCTTTCTGTTAAGTCCATTTGACCTTGAACTTGGAAATAGTAGTTGTGGTTTCTTTTCAAGGTTACTTTGCCATGCACTATCGAACAACAAAATGTTTTGTCTACACAGGCCTCTTCTGGTGAACAGTTCCTAAATTGATATGGGCATTTAATCTCTAAGACCCCCTTGGTGTGAACACATTTCTTACAACAGTCTACTATTCCATCTGAGCTTGATCCCAAGTGTGGTAGACTTTGCTTTACCACAAGGCCAGATGAAAAGAGTTTCAGCCTGGGGTGAGTTACTTGAATACGCCTTTGGTACACACGCTTGGCAGCTGGTTCATGGCTCCTGCCCCATTTAGTGGCTGCAGTTTCAAATTCGTCATTGTAGCCCATAATGGATCGTAACAAGATATCAGGGTTGTT